GGCGTCTGTCATTTGATTCCCTTTTCGTGGGATGTGACTGAAAATGATTTTTGTGAATTCCACAGTCAGTATTAAAACATGATCCTGATATGGAACTCGTTTTGGATGTTTAGTATCCTGTTCACCGTTGACTTGGTATATGGCTTGTGAGCATTCTTTGGAGAAGTCAATATTTCCCCTATATCGTGCCCCGGTGCATTTGAAGCCTCGTCGAACGTGGATGCCCAACGTGCCTCTGACTCGGGTTCTTCGTCAGATCTTAGTATTTCATAGTTGCTTATTTTTACAGCAATGTCTGTATCTAAACTTTAGTCTGTTTCCGTAGATATGCGCAATAACTTGATCAACTTCTTTGTGGCTCCGCTCTTTACATTGCCCCTTAGCTTGGTTTCTTCCAGGTCTTCCCCTGTGCTCAGATTAATGGTCTTAATAGCCTCTTGATATGGTTGCGTATTGTTAGCTTTTCTTTTTATCTCCCTCGCCATTTTCTCATAGAGTTCAAGATCTTTATCACCTCCGTCTTTAGCTTGGTTGATAGGAGCATCAAAATTATATCGGGTCGCAGCAGTAACATTATCGGTGGTTTTGGGCATGAATTTTCACCTTTATCATGTTTTGGTGCCGATTTAGTATATGAATATTTGAAAATGCATATGCAGAGAAAGTATTACCAGTTTTTTAAATCTAAGATATAAATGCAAGAGAAAGAAAAGGGATCTTAATTGAAGACAAAATATAACTTTCATTAATCGTAAATATTGTCTGAAACAAAACAGGGAAACCCTTACAAGCAACCCATATGCCTCGGGCTTGACATAGGTTCTTTCAAAAACAAGAAAAATTAATTAAGAGAGAAAAAGATCTCAGGAATCTCCACGGTCGTCCATCTTTTGATTTTTTTCTCCTGGGGCGCATTCTTGGATGAATTCAATTGCCCATTTGGTGTTGGCTTTGTTGGATATTTTTGCCCCATGTCTACCATGCACTACTCTGTTGTTGACAAAAGTCTCTTGGATCGGAGGAAAAGGTGCTTCGCCCTTTAGAGCAGCTTTATATTTTTCTTTAGGGTATTGCCCGAACTGGACTATCCCCTGGTCTCATATCCTTTGTAGAGATCTTTTGAAATTTTCAATGTGTTCTAGCAGGAGTCCATATTCCAACCGATATTCTTTCAGCGAGTTTATCGGGGTCTTTGCTTGTCTGCTTGCCCCATAGTCAGTGACTACTTCGATTGCATTTATTGTTAGACCATCGTGTGACGGCGTAGGGTCTGATGCGATGTTGGGCTTCTCGAAAGTGATGTCTTTGGAATCCAGCAAGTCATGCACCTTGTGCTTGAAAGGCCAACACTGTTCTAGGGTATGTCCAGGAGAATTAGCATGATACTCGTATCTGGCGTTGGCATCGTATCTTCGTGGGAGTGGCCCGACTGGAGGAGCTAGATACTTGAGTTCCACTAAGGATTCCTTAACCAGCTGTTGCAATAACTGACTAGGTGGCATAGGGAGTGAATCAAATTTCCTGGGTGGCCTTCTGCCTTGCTGCTGCCCTAGTGGGATCACTAATGGTTGTTGTACCCTGGGTTGTGACACTGCATCATTAATTTATCCCTCTTCTCCTTTGGTGAAGTTTGAAGTAGACCCTTTTGAATTGTAGGGAGCATTTGATGATCCTGCTGATATCTTTCCACTTTTTACCCCAGTCTAGATTCTTTCTTTAATGGTTACTAGGTCTGAGAACCCCGAAGAGATACTTCCAACCATCATCTCATAATACAGCCCGTGCAAAGTTCCCATGAACGTGTCTATTAACTCCTTCTATAACAGTGGTGTTTGCACACGGGATGCCAATTCCCTCCATTTATGAGCATATTCCTTGAAAGACTCTTCTTTCTTCTAGGACAAATTCTGGAGTTACATGCGGGTAGGCGCCATGTCCATGTTATATTTGTAATGCTTTAGGAAAGCATTAGCAAGATCTGCCCAGGTTTGGATATGCATTCGCTCCAATTGCATATACCAGTCTGAAGATGCCCCACTCAAGCTATCTTGAAAATAGTGAATCATCAGCTTCTGATCATGGGCATGGGCATGCATCTTCCTGCAAGACACGCGGAGATGATTTCTTGGGCAAGTGACCCCCTTTTATTTTTCAAAGTCAGGTACTTTGAACTTTGATGGAATCACCACATCAGGAGCTTTATACTGATTCATCACTAGTGGATTATCAATATCATGAGTACTAATCATCTTTGGGGGCGCTTGATTGGCATCCTCTGGGTTGTGGTCTCTGTATTATAGGTCCAAGTAATCATTGGTCAGAATCTGTAGGGTACGAGATGCCCCTGCTTTTGGCAGCGGTGGGACAAACCCTTCAATTTCAGCTTCTTGTTGGACCATGATGGATTTCTGGGGTCCTACCTCTGACTCTTTCCTTAGTTGGTGACCACTTGATGCACCAATAGGCAGGGGTACTTCTTTGAAAGCTGCCTTGGGAATTTGGTCTTGTCTGTCAATAATATTCTTCAAAGCTAGGAGAACTTGACTCATATCTCCTTTCATTGAAGTGACGTCACCCTTTACTTGGTCAAGATCCTCTCTGAATGCAGCCTGAGTTTCCTCGATTTTCTCCATTGCTTTTTTGTTTATAAGCCTTTGTTTGATACGGAGGCCAAAGAGGTGAAGATCTTCTTTTACCAATGGTTCAACTGGAGAGATGTTTTTGAAAAATGTGTTTTGATATGATATACAGGTGTTTGTGAATGCATGCATGAGAATAAATGTGTATGAATATGAAAGGGGTTAACTGTCCTATTCACTTGGGTGTGTATCCGTCTTTTGCTTATTATTTTACTTAGCGAATATCTTTAAAATCGATACGCAAACGAGATATGGAAACAAAATACCTTTATTAAATGTAACATAATTCAGATTTTGAAAAATATTACAATCTTAAACCAAAACTTTATTTACGTGAAATCAAGCGAAAGGAAATAATTCTTCTAGGTGTGCCTGCGGATATCTGATCTGGGAGTCATCCACCTTGACCTGACAAAGCCTAAGAAAATCTTCAGCACATTATTTCCTTTTCGTGGCTTTGATTTTAGACTTATTTGATGTGTTGACGCAAGCAGGTTGTTTCCTTCAGTATCCATTTTTAAAGACAATCACTGAGATCTTGATTTTATTTTTTTTGGTACCCCGTGAATAAGACAAAGAAACGGGTGACGAATATATAATAAAATGTATGACAAATACATGAAATATATGAATGCATGATGTAGGGTTGAATGATGGGGTTTTATGATAAGTACCCCTATAAGGTAGGGATGTATGGTTTAGTGACGGGGTTTTTGTGATAAGTATCCTTAGAAGGCAGGTTCCTTAATTTTGACCTACGGTTGATCTACCCTCCCAGAAGGTGGTTTCCTTAAGGGTATCATGAATAACACCACAGGTAAAAGGTGCAAGGGCCTCCCTTAGGTGGAGCCTCTTTACCGACCAAGACGTCTGTCTCAAAGTCGTGAAAGGTCTCGTCATGAAATTTTGGGTTAAGGTCGTTACAAAGAGTCATGAGTGACCTTCCAAAGTCCTACTCGTCAAGAGGATATCTCTTGATAAGTATTCCTTTTTATGAAGTCCACCGACTCTAAGAGAAGTCGTCACATAAACTCGCATGGATGATGTACCCCCTAAGATGATAGAGAACCTTCTTGCTAAGGGTTATATTGGAAATATTTTTGAGGTAGAAAGATCCCGCCACGCAGTAAATATATGATGATAAGAGAATTTGACAGTAAATAAATAAATGCGATAAAGTAGATAAATGCAAAAAATAAATAAAGCGAATAAAAATAAGAAACCCCAAAGATATCTAAACCTAGGGTTAAGGAGAGTCCCCAGCAGAGTCGCCAGCTATAGCAACCGGATTTTTAATCAGAGTCTCCACTATTAGTTTTTATCCTAGGGAAGCGAACCTAACAGAAAACCCTAATTCACAGACAGGGATTCTAGGTTTCAGACTCAATTAGACGAAAGGAATGTGTTAGGCACCTTTCATCCCCCTTGTTCACAAGGATATTAAGCTCTAGGTTTAGGTTTGGGATAAACAAGGTTTTAAGTTTTAATTAGCAAGACTCGCCACGATTTTAGATCGCGTGTCTACGTATCCTCTTATGAGGAATCAAAGTCCCAATTTGTAGTTCGTATGAGTTGGTGTTTTTTAGGAGTTTTCAAACATATTTTGAATCACTTCGCACTCGGTCGGGAGTAGTGATTGCAGAGATTTTGACCGAGTGCGCAGTAAGTCAAAACGAGTTTGAAACCCATTTGCAAGAAGATAGTTGATTAGTTTAGTTTTATTGCAAAAAATAGTTTGAGATTTGTTTGTGTTTTTTAATTGTATGATTCTAAATAATAAACCGATAGACGATGGGTCGGCCTATTGAATCACTTGAAGATGGACATCCTATTATTGAATTAATTTGATTTGAAAAAGTGTTTGATTTACGTAGATCGTGAATTATTAAATAATTAGACTAATTAAATAAAATACACATTTTTGATTTTTTATATTCTTTTGATAAAAAAAGACTAAATAAAATAAAACAATTATTTACATTATAAAAAATAGATATAATTTAATTAACCTAAATTAGGGGTATAAATAAAAGTTAGCAGGTGTGCATAAGAAAAAGGTGAGGCCCAAGGCCCATTCTACTAACCTAAACTATAAACCTAATTAACTATTGATTAAATAAATAATAAAATAATACAGAAAAGAAAGAAGGTGATGAATACGTACCTGTTGTCCTTCCATTTCTTTGGCCAATTCGATATAATAAAATCAACTAGTAATAAGCTGAAACTTGGAATTGGATTAAGATAAAAAGAAACAAAAAAAAAAATAGTACCAAACATTTTCTCCTTTCCTTATTCGTTTTCCAAAAGTAACGAGGTCTTCATCCTTTACTTCTTTCTCAAATTTCCCCTCGATCTGAATCAGAGACGACATATGCTAAGATGGCCGCTTGAAGCTTCGGCTCGTTGACGGTGCAGGAAGGATAGTTGAGGAGGTCGTGGATTTGGCTCGCGGTGATTTGCGGAGGAGGTGACACAGCGGTGGGTTTGAGATTGCGGCGATGGCACGTGCTTACGGAAGGGGCAGTATTCGCGGGTTTTGAGCAGTGTGGATCTGAGGGAAGTCTTCGTCGGTGGTTCGGAAACGGAGGGAGTCGCGCACGATTTTGGAGAAGCTTCGATGGAGGGATGGTGACGCCGACGGAGTCTCGAATTATATGGAGTATTGTTCGAGAAGGATGATGCGTGAGCTTGGCGGTATGCACGGCTGATTTGCGCTGACATAACAAGGGAGAACGATTGGTGGTGTTGGATCACTATTCTTCTTCCAATCTTCCTTCAAATTGATTCTCTCCATTTCCGATTTTTCTTTTACCTTCTACAAGGGAACAGTGGCTGGCGGAAGCGGATGAACAAGGCCTTTTGCCGATCGGAGTCTGGCATCTGAGTCGAGGTGTTACAGGTAGTGGCTGAGTTGTGATCTCTCTCTCTCTCTTTTCCGATGAAGAAGGTGCCGATAGTGGTGACGGATCCGGCAGTGATTTGGAGAGCTTCTAGCGGAGATTTCAAGAGAAAAAGAGGCGTGATTCCGTGGCTAACAACAGCGGGGATGGCTGGTATCACGGTATACCCGGATTAAGGATATGCGAGAAGCATCAGAGTTTCAACGTCGGAGATCCTTCTTTTTCTTTTCGATTTGAACTATTACTTTTCTATTTTGTTTTCACCTGTAAAAAAAGTATGCAGATATGTTCCAGAGTATTTTACCATGGTGTTAGTTTTTTCTTTGGTTCGTTAATGGATTTGGAATCTGAATGTGAGAGATATTGGTTACAGTGAGAAAAAACGTGTATGTGAACTTGTGGTTTTGAAATTTACATGAATGCCTTAAGTTATAAAAAGAAGCATAGAAATTGGTTTAACTGTATGAAATAGGTACTTGAATTGTGAGAGCAAGAAACTGGTGAAAATTAATAGTAATGTTATTTTTTGAAACTATGTACAAAAGTTGTAGAAATAATAAGTTTTTTTTGTGAGGCCTATGTACCGTGATCAAAATGTGGCGAGAAAAGGAAATAGGCTCGGGAATTGGCCATAAAAAATTTGATGAAAATATAAAAAACAAACCAACATCAAATAATCATCATATGTTGTAAACAAATTAAAATTAAGATAAGGGAAGGTCTTATATATATGGACAAAGTGTTAGCGAAGAATGTAAAAATTATGGATGATTGTGTTGATGAATTGTGGATATTTCTGGCCCCCTTGTTGATAAGTTTTTAGGATTATTTATAAGTGACAAAATTAGGTTAAAATCCAAAAAAGGAAATATCCAATATCCAAAGCCCAAATTTTTATCTTGGCCAGTAAGATTAAGAATCGGGACATATTTGCGTCCAAGTGCAAAATTTTATATAGTAAATAAATAAGATTTTATTTATTTATAAGATATTTTGACTATTTTTTAAATAAAATTAATATTTTAATAAAAAATAATATTTTCAAAATATAATAAACAAATAAATACGAAAATAATAATTTAATAACAAAAAATATGATTTTTGTGGTTTAGAAAATGAAAACAAAGTTAGTAATAGCAAAAATATCCAAAGTGCACTGAGTGAGATTCAAACCTGTGACCTTCTGTTTGTCAGTCTTTCTGACTTACCAACTGTGCTATGTTACTTATTTGAAAGTAAAAAACCAATTGAAAGTATATGACATCGAACAATTATTTTCTATTTTTTTTTACAAAAATAAAAATAATTATTATATTTTCAAACAAATTTGAAAGAAAATTTTTTTATTAAAAAAACTCAGAATGTTAATATAATTAAATCAAAGGAATTTTATATCTGTAACACCCAAATTCGAAAATAAGTTTGACGGTAACACTAAGGCTGACAAATTTGGGGTATGACACACTGACTGTAATCTCAATACAAGAACAGTCAGGCAAAAATTAGGGATAGTAAATCAAAAAGGAGGTCACTACAGATCCTAGACAATATGAAAAATGTCACAAAACGACCGCCTTCCCAAATGAACTTCCAATATCCGAACCATCACCAAAATATCATTCCAGATTCTAGTAGGAGATTAAACGTATGATCGATTGAGTTTAGGATTGGAGAACATTATGGAGAACGGGTTGGATACTATTTTACCCTAAAATTTTCCCTCTCATGTTTTCCAATATTGTCTCTTACATAGGTGGTTACAAACACTTGCTTAGAGAAAATATAAAACTTTTGGAGATATTCCAGTGTCTTTCAATTGGCACCTGAACAGGGTATTTTGATTGACATCTGAGCAAGCTTCGATTGGGCGCTGAACTTTCTTCGATGCAAGCCTAATTCACAAGCTTCTATTGGGTGATGGGCCATCCTTCGATCAAGTTCAAATCACAAGGCTTCGACTGTGCATTGGATGCTTCAGGCTTGCCTTCGTTTCACCAGGCAAGAACTTCCTACATACTTGCTTCGATTCACAAAGTAGTAGTCCCCTGTAGGCAAGCTTTGATTGGACATCTAAAGATCCTTCGAGCAAGATTTAATCCACAAGTATCATTCCAGCAGTGCCTTCCTTTCACTGGTCTTCGATTCACAAGACAAAAGGCCCCTTTCAACTGACCTTTGATCTACTAGGCAGAAGCTTCCTTATGCTTACCTTGGATCCACAAGGCCAAGCCTTCTCCAACTGGCCATTGATTCACAAAACAAAGGCCCCTTTCGACTTGCCTTCAGCGCAAACCAAAAGGCTTCTTTCGATTTGCCTTTTATGCACAAGGCCAAGACCCCTCAACACAGTTTCTGCACTATGACACACAATATGACCCCTTCGAAAGAGCACTCCAAAGGTCTATTCGAAGGACACACATAGGTGGTCCATTCAAAGAAGGCACAAGGCATACATATGGACTATTCGAAAGACACACAAAAAGTTCATTCGAAGGATATACAGGTAGTCTATTCGAAGGAGACACATAATTATTGAAAGCAAGTTTGTCTTATGATGAGTCTTGGTCCTACATGTTGCCAGGACCAAGCCTCATGCGCAATGGCATTCAAAGGAAGTGACGAATGAAGCTTCGACTGAACATAATGAAGTCTTTCGATTGAGATGGTTGGGTAGTCTCAAAGTAATCTAAGAGAGCAAGCTTGGGGGATGATCGAAGAAGCCAGGACGTTGAAGCATTGTGCAATTCTAATCAAGACTCAGAGCAATCAAAGAGAGCAAGCCTGTGGGCTGATCGAACGAGCCATGATGATGTGACTTTGTGCAATTCGAATCAGAACTTAAAGTCATCAAAAAGGAACAAGAGCTGATTCAACTAAGTTTATCCTTCTAGATCAGGCAATCGAAGCAGATGGCGACGTAATCGAAGAAGCTCTGGTGAAGGAAATTCTGAGCAATTTGAGTTCGTTCAAGGCGCCAAACATCACATGTCCAGGTTCATAACATATGAAAATTGGGCAAGAATATACAATTATGGAAATTTTTCAAAGTGTGTGATTTTGTTTTTAAAGGACATTATTAAGGTTGTTTCTTTCCATGCTAAGACTCCCTTCTCATCTCCTATAAATACCCAGCATATCTGCAAGCTGAGAGGACACGCACAAATTTCCTATCGAAAGCTACCTCAAAGAACCACGAAAATTCTCAAAAGTTCAGCAAAGTTGTCAAAACCAAAACACGTTTTGTAGGCACCTTCTATTTACAGTGATTTCTGGTAAACAACCGCTAGTCCTCCAAACTATCAAATAATCTTAATGACTGTTATTTAATCTCTCTGGTAACTTGCAGGATCGACTAGATTAATCATATGGGGTATTGGTCGTTTGGATAAATCTAATTGCAAAACTGATATTCATAGTTAGGATTTATATTTAGAATGTTTTATAGACGTTCAATTCACTTCGATTACCATGTTAAAAGAATCTACTGACATGATCAAGTAAAGAAATATGAAACTGAATTGAATGAATAAAGATTCGATTGCAAAGAAATGTTTAAATGCAGAAATAAGTAAATGACTTTGAATGTAAAGACTTTAATGTAAAAAGCATGAATATAAAAGCATGAAATGTAAAAGAGTTTCTGAGATGTAAAGGATTCGAATAGAAGAAAAGCGTTTAAATGCAAGAAATAAGTAAATGACTTTGAATGTAAAGGTATTTGAATGACATTGACATGAAAATGGAAGATAAACTGGAAAAGATAAAGAGTTTTACTGAATTATAAATGTTTGGTGTTATCATACATACATTGTTCGAGCATTCGTTTCCCTATCCATGTGGTATTTTGAATGTTTACTGAATTTTGTACAATAGATATGACACACGAAATCCTAACGCTAAGACTTCTATTTATACTACTTCGACCATAACGGTCTTGCCTATAAGATTCTGCCACGTTCAGAACATGCAGAGCACTGCTCCTCTCTAGCTTCCACGCGTCTTCGAACGCTCCAGCGCATATATATTTGAATTCCAACATCCCGCTCGCGTTTGAATTTCAAATACCTTGGCAATCTTCGCTTCGAACTCATTTCACAGACACAGTCTCGTTACCACTTCGAGGCTTCTTTTAAATATATCTTCACAACTGTCACTCGAAGCTCCGAGCTTTGACATGTCCGTTTGAAGAACCGCTTCTACCATTCCGAACTGTAACATTTTTCTTTATTCCAACGAAACATCCATATTGCTTCATTTCAAACTGTATCATCAAAATCTTCAGCCAACAAAATGCCCCTTTAAAATATGTATTTCGATCCTTTGAGAAACACTTATTTTAAATATATTTGTAAGATTTTGATGTGACTTTTGAGTAATCATAACACTTACTGTGTATGACTTCAATCACGTCAATCACGACGCCTCTTGGATTTCTTAACCGTCTTGAATCAGTATTTCACAGCATGGTGCAGTTATAAAACAATGATTATTATTAATCACGCTTATTACCAATATCAGCCTTTACGCCACCTCCTCCTCAATCCAACCCACGACTCCCACATATCCTAGTCTCACTTAGTGGATGTTTAAGCTTCCACACTATAAAAACTAATCAACTTAGTCTTTTATTCTTTTTTCACACTCTGAAACTTTTTCTTCCTCTCCTCTTACTAAAACCCTAAAACTTCCAACAATCTTCAACAATGTCTTCAACAACATCATCCCAACTGAAGAAAACTTCCAAGAAGAAAGGCAAGAACACAGGAACAATTATGGAAAGCAAGGTCGGTACTTATCAAGGTCAATCTGTGCTTATCCCTC